TTCTTGGTTGCAAAGATTTGAACTGCTTCCCGAAGGTCCACAGTCTGGGCCTGCTCATGCTCTGTTGAGCTGGACCAGCCTCTCCTGTGTCATTGTGGAGCGTAGATGTGTTTTTATTAACTTCAGCTTGGAGAAGCTGCGTTCTCCACTGGCAACTGTTACAGGAAGTGTTATAAGTAGGCTCAGAACAACAAAAGCATTTGGAAAGAGGGTGGTGATCTTATTTGTGCACATATATTCCAGAACAGCCTTTGGAGTTGATCCTGCTGAAATGTATCTTGAAAGGGCTTCCAATTCATCACCTAAATCACTCGCATCTATATCGCGCATGTCATCATGTATCAACACTGTTTCTAGTGCCCTGCATTGCTGGTGTAGGTCTTCTTCAGGTATAGTGAGGAGTTTTGGAATATCAGAAAACATCCCAAATATACTGCTGTATTTCTTGAGTTGCATAAAATGTTCTTCAACTGACTGTATTGCACAATCTAGCACCTGGTTAAAGAATTCAACTTTGAATTGTTGTTTGGGGTCTCTTATGGGATTATCCCGTGCCTTGTAATCAAAGTGTCTTCTTGTATTCTTGAATGGGTGGAAAAATAGCTTCAGTGTGAAATTCCTCTGCCAACTTCTGTCCATTCTTCAGAACATTTTGAAATCCCTCATCTGACCGGTAAGACTGTAGATATGACTTTGCTTTGTCCAGTTGTTCCATTGCTCCAGATATATCAAGGTCAACACCTTGGAGTCTCTTGCTTACAACATTTATTTCAAACAGTATGTCATGTCACAACACTAAGCCACACAGAAATTTGAAGTTATGTATGTTTCTGGTGATTCCATTTCCCTCTGCCACTGTTCTCCCATGAACAGTTCCTGTCATAGCATTATCCTCCATAATGGCAACTATGGCATCATCTATCTTTCCAATTTGGTGTTTGATAGGCTTTATCGCTTCCATTCGACTTTCCCATCGTGTGGCACTCAGTGGTTTCAGTGTCAGAGAGGATGTTCCCAGATGTTGCTTCAAAATTTACCATTGATGACTTGATGCAGAGAAAAATACATAGATGCTTTGAATTACATTAAAAAAGTCAGCAGCCTCACTAGAAGCTGATGCTGCATCACTGACCACCAAGTTCAATGAATGAGAACTGCATGGGACAAAAAAAGCTCGAGGGTTTAACTCTCAGATCCGTGTCTGCACTCCTCTGGTCTTTCCTCTCATGTTGGCACCATTATCGTAGCCCTGACCTCTCATGTCAGCTATCACAATTCCCGTATCTTCCAGCTTTTTAAGAAGCATATTTGTCATACTAGCTCTTATAGTATCATCAATGTCAATAAATTCTAGAAAATGCTCTCTGACAGTCACTATTGCAGGAACATTTTCACTAGGTTCTGTTGTTGTTACAAAATGCACCATTAAAGTAATTTGTTCTGTATGGCTGATGTCAGGCGTGCAGTCCAGAATAACAGAGTAATATCTTGCTGAGTTCAGATCTGCCACAATCTTCTGTTTGACTTTTGTTGCCAGTAACTGTATGATCTCATTTTGAATTGTTTTCCCAAGGTAATGGGGTGTGTACATTTCTTGGGTGGTGACTCTTCTTAGATGCTCCTGGAATACAGCATCAAACTCAGCCATCAGCTCCACAATTGGAAGGAAGTTTCCATTGTTTGGCACACACAGCTGATCTGAAGTGTCACGCAGTGCTAGGTTTTGGGTAGCAAGCATTCTCACAATGGCAATGAGCCTTTTCAGAACATTTTGCCAGTAAAGAGACTCTGATGCAATCTTCTCTTCATGCTGATCATCTATGGTGGCCTTTAACCTTAGTCTCATCTCAAGCTCTTTCCACCTATGGAATGCTCTCTGGTGATTTACTGCCTTCTCATGGCATGCCAGATTTCTAGCCAGATTTTTCCAGTCCTTTGTTCCTGTAGAACCCAATGGGGCTGGAACATTAGACTGGAAGAGTTTGCAACAAAAACAGTATGCAGCTTTCTGGGTTTTTGAGTACATAAGCTATGGCCTCTCCACTTTGTCACCGTTGGGGATTTCACACTAGTATTCTGTTGGATGGAAATTTCTATTTTCATTGTCTTTGGGGAACATGAAGTTTTTCACTTGCTGTGGCCCATGCAGTACAAGGAAGTCCCTCAGGCTACTACTCAAGTGGGTTCACAGTCCTGGATCATCTAGACTTAAGGAACTAAAAACTCAGCAGCAGCTGTTTCTTGCGCCTCCACCACACTCTTCTCCGATCTACACTTTTCTTCAGGAATGTGCATGGTTACATCCATTTGAGAAAGAGATATGGAGGCTGCCGTAGCTGCCAGGTCACCTGCACTCTGACTGACTGCAAGATCAGGCATCTCCTCACCACTAACATCCTCACTGGGGCCGGAAGGCTCACCATGAACATTTGTGTCTATGTATCTCAGGAGAGCTCCTTCCTGCTTAGATAGAAAGCTTCCTTTGCTTTCTTTTTTTTTCTGAATGCTGCCCCAGAGGGGCGTTTTCTTTTTTCACTCATGACTGCTGTTCTGTGCCAGCTATAGTGGCTCTCAACACTCAATTGAAAGGGACAAATAAGCAGGCTGGTAGCAGGGCCTGAGGGTATGTCTACACTACCTGCCGGATTGGCGGGTAGCGATCGATCTATCAGGGATCGATTTATTGCGTATAGTGTAGATGCGATAAATCGATCCCCGATCGCTCTCCCGTCAACTGCTGAACTCCAGCAGTGCGAGAGGTGGAAGCAAAGTCGACGGGGGTGCCGCGGCCATCGATCCAGCGCCGCGAGGACGCGAAGTAATTTTAATTTGATCTAAGATACGTCGACTTCAGCTACGTTATTCTCGTAGCTGAAGTTGCATATCTTAGATCGATCCCCCTCCCTCAGTGTAGATCAGGCCTGAGTGAGGGAAGATATCAGCGTCTTAAGGGCCTAACTGGCTCCTACTACTTCAGTTGACTGCCTGTTCTCCTCAAGTGGGTTCAGGGAATCAGCAGGAAACAGGAAGCTTCCTGAGAAGCTGGTGTTAATCAGTCCAGGCTCCTGGGGGTGCTAGAGAGGTACATAAGAGGTTCCTCCTCCTCTCTCTCCCTACAGCTCCTGCTGCTTTCTGTTATTCCCTCTCACCTTTTCTCCTGCCTGCCTGTTATGTCTCTTGTGCCCTCCTTCCTCCAGCACAGCACTCCACCATCTCTGTGCATCTAGAGCAGAGAGAATACATATGCACCAGCAGCAGACACAATTTTCTACTGGGTCCTAGTGGCGCTCTCCCACAGTCTGGCACCTGAGGCGGCCGCATCAATTTGCCTCATGGTGTCTGCTACTCAGTGTTTGTACAGCACATGGCACAATGGAGCCCCATGCTTGGCTGGCCCTGAGTCACCACAGTAACTACGATGAGGTTTAATAATAATAACTTGAACACGCTGCAGTGATTTTTTTCCTATCAAGGTTTGCTCTTATTCCTATCAAGGTTTGCTCTTGATCATTCCAAGTTTGTCTGCTCCCATTGGGAGGGACTCCAGGTTTTGAGATGCATTTTTTCTTAAGTGTCAGCCTGTGTTTTAGGAACCAGATCTGACATTTCCCATCCACTGAGAAGCAACGGTGGATGCATTAATTATCTTTCTCTCGCACACACACCAGCCAATCCATCTCATCATAACTAAAGGGAAAAGATTCCCTAGCTTAGACAGCAGAGGGGACTGCTACATATGTATAAATAGGTGTGATGTATTCCTGCCACTAAGGGGAACAGCACATGCAGGTGCACACAAACACAAATGCTGGCTGGTTGCAACCTAAAAGAAAAGTTCTGCTAGCACAGCCAGTGCATAGAATGTATTATGTGTAGTAGAGTGCAGTGTTGCACACACATCCAGTATCTGACATATTCCATGCAGTAGAGGGCAGTGGTACGCACCTATGTATACTCACACACCAGCCAGTCCGTTATCTCAACAATATCTGGTCAGGTTTGGTCATTATATCAAGATCTGAACTTGCATCTCATGACCCCCACAATGGACAATCAAAAGATGGTACTGAACAGGAAGTGCCATGCAAAATACCTGTCTGCAGCACCAAGGAAGGAATTTTCCATTGACCTGACTGATCAATGCATGGTTTCTTTTTTCTTTACTACTTTTATTAGGTTCCTCGCTTGCAATTTTCTGTGCTTTTTCCTGTCTCCCTGTTGTATGGATTTTAAGGAGTCTTGATAATTGGCAGTGGTAAATTTTACTGCTCATAAAACTCCAGAGAGCATTGATTGTGACTTGAGTTAAGCAAGTGGCATATAAAGTCTTATTGCCTTGCAGTCATGGGGGAGTTTTACAATGAGTGTATTTCTTGGAAGCAGTAAGAGGTCTGGAGGTTTACTTCCACCATCCTTGTCTCAGGCATCAGTTGTTATTAGTGAGGGGCATACCTTCAGCAGCAGTGGGATGTTGAGTCAGGAGACATGCCCAAAAGCAGAAAGCAAACTCATAGTTTGCCAAACTGGAGGTGGAAGTGTTGTGAGAAGAGCCTTTCCTCATTATTATTTCAGTTCTCCCTGCACCAGGAAGCACAGAGGTGAAAAATGTATATATATATTTTTTGGAAATTGATAGTCGGGATAAAAATTATATATTGTATTTACTGAAAATCCTTTCTTACCTGTGTATATTTTTAAAAATGAAGGATTTAAAAAAATCTAACTTTTCTTTTTCCTTCATGATGGTTGGTTATTTTTTGCACTTCTTTCAAGTTGGAAAGTGAAACTAGATGGATAAGGTAGGCACCAGCCAGATGCTGTTGTGTTTGGAAGTAGGGGAGTATTTAATTTCAAAAATATCCACTCAACCTTAAAAGAAGATTGGAGCTAATTTCAGCATCACTACAGATGTTTTCTCTCTCATTAAAGTGGGTTCTTTCATGCAAACTACTGCTTATTGCTGAAAGATTCTGAGGAATTTTCTTTCTCTGCCTTTCTAGTTCCAGAAACCTAACGACTTCTCACCCCCTTTCCGATTTGGGACGGTTCCCAATGGCAGCACAGAGAGGAACATTCGCAACAACTACCCTGAAATGCATAGCTACATGGTGAAGTTCAACCAGAGGGGGGTGGACGATGCCCTATTCTCGCTGAAGACTGGGTGAGGCCTTCTCCTTCCAAACTTGTCCATACCATGAGCTTGGCTTCTTTTCCTGTGTGTCTGGGGCTTTGAGGATCATTCTCCATGATTTATTGCAAAGGTGACATCCAGCATGACAGCTGCCAGAGTGATTTGGCCTTGATGCTATTTGCAACTGTTTTTGTCAGTTTTCCTCTAACATTTGTACAAGTGATTTTTGTTTGTAAGAATATTTGCGGAAGGAGAAAATCTTGTGAATACTTGTCAGTACCCAGAGCCTCACTCCTGCAAGCTGCTCCCTACAAGCAGAGCAGCTTGCAGGGTGGGGCCAAAGTTTGCTCCAGAAGTGTTTGTACAATCAGCTTGAAATTTCTTTGATTTCCCTCCTCTGTTTTGTAAAAGATTAAGTCAACTAGGGAGCAGAAGCAATACCATGTGACTTGATTGACAAGTCACACACCAGTATGGCAGTAATGAATATTGTAGAGTGGAAGGCATATAGTCAAAGCAAATAGTTTGCAAATGACCCATAGGGTAGAAAATCTTTGCATAAAGTGTCTGTCAAAATTTTTTGAATCCTGAACAGATCTGTGAAAATCAGAGTCTCTTCATAGATAATTTGGAAAACAGAGAGGGAAACATTCACTGGAAAAAAGTATCTGCTCTGAACAACTTGTGTAGGTCTACCAGTCACTATGCTCCCCTCCGAGAGCTAGGTAGAAGCCATATCTAGTTTGCAGGTCTCTGTATGAATAAAGCCCCCCCCGCCCCCCTTGCTAAACTTCCCTCTTGTTTTCAGGGCCCCACCCGGTGTAAAAAAGATCCTTGTACCTTGAGCCTCACTCTGGCTTGCAAGGCCCTGCACCCTCTGATAAGGTTTATTCTGAAGCACTAAGGGCTGTTCAGCCAATTTAATTATTAGATTGACTGAACATTTCTAACCTATTTGCCAGACTCAGAGGAGCGTAGCCCATCACAAATGACTATACTGTTTCTGGATGCCATCCTGGAAATATACATGTCAAGATAGGCATCATCCAGGAAATATATATTCCCTGAGATAGATGTCATCCTAGACATGTATTCTAGTCAGGAGAGATGTCATCCCTGACACATAAATGCCCTGAGACAGACTTCACTCTAGATAGGCACATGTACTGGGATACTGGCCATCCTGGAAATCTGCTTACAGTGGATTAGAACGATGATATAGCTGTGAGTGTATGTGGGAAATGGAAGGTCTTTTGTCCTATATAAAAAGTGGTTTGGTTCATATTTAGTGGTAGCATTTACTCCTCAGCTATCTGATTATTTAGAAGATCCAAATTCCTATTTAGGTATTTCCCCTAGTTGCTCCCCCTTGTACCTGCCAAAAAAAAAAGATTATTTTACTGGGATGCAGAGAGGGGCTCCCAACAGACTGCTCTACTACCTGCCATCTCTCGAGTGTATCCACCCTATCATGTAATTATGTAGCGTCAGTGTTGGTGATTCCCCTGAGTCTGTACTGAACTCTTTTCTCCGTGTTCTGCTAGCAAGGCGCTGTAATGCTAAAACGACTGTCTTCATGGTGAGACGTAAGACTGCTGTCCTAACCACTTGTCACAGTTAAAGATCCCATGGGATTTTTCACAGTAACATAGGAGTTAAATTCAGGGTCCTGACCAAATCTAATCTGAATAATTACATTCTGCTTAGCTAAGTCACATCAGCAGTATCGGTTGGAAATGGCCTTCTTCCTTACTTCAAGTCCTAATTTGTTGTGCAGTATTTATGTATTCAGTAAAGTACTTTAGGATCCTTTGGGGTGAAAGGCACTATAAAAATTCCAGATATTATTATTATGAACATAGACCTCCCTTCAGCTTCCTATTCATTCAGCCTTGACCCTATAATAGACTTCTGTTGTAATGTTCCTTCACACTGCCTCTTTGGAGACCATGCTGGATGTCAGGGAGAGAGAGATGAGTCCTTATCTAATCTAACTCAAATTCAAAAAAGATTGTCGTCTCAGATTTCAGTTCCTGTTGAAGGTTCAGGAGGCAACATACAGTATTCCATCTGGACGGGTTCCTCCCATCCTTACTAGTTAGGGCCACTGTTCTTGGTATCAGCAGTTCCTTTCAGTTATGTGCAATGATTTGAACTCACACAGAATCTTTTCTTTACTGTATTCTCCCTTTTCCTTGCACCCGGGCAGGAAATTGGATGCATTCATTTATGATGCAGCAGTGCTAAACTACATGGCTGGCAGAGACGAAGGCTGCAAGCTGGTAACGATTGGTAGTGGGAAGGTTTTTGCCTCCACTGGCTATGGCATTGCCATCCAAAAGGACTCGGGCTGGAAGCGTCAGGTAGATCTTGCCATTCTACAACTTTTTGGTGATGGTAAGTGGTCTGTGCAAAGAGGTATGGGGCTTCCTCTCAAATTTCCAGATCCTGGCTGTATGGAAATGGGGTTCCCTCCCTGACCCTAACATCTTAGATTTGGTAAACAGTGCAAGAGTAGTGAAAAAGCATGTTGGCAGAGAGATGGGGCTAGACACACACAGTTGGATATGCTTTATGCAGGTTAATAACCGCTTCAGGGCTAATATCACAAGTTTCAAAGGTTTAATGAGAATTAAGCCCCCAAAAGTTCAGACGTGTATTTGAAGTTTATCTGAACGTCTTCACTCTGGAAATCTTGTGAGAACAGGCTTTTCCTTGTCAGATTTTTGGTACTTCTTGGTTTTAGCCATAATCAGAAATCCAAATGAGAATGGAGCTTTCAGTAGTTATTTCTGGCATGCCTGTGTTGTCCAGGCACCACCAAGCTGTGCAACACCCATGTGATCAATAATTAAACATGCCTGGAGGAAAGAGAAAACTAAACTTTCTTAAACCTAAAAATAAAGTAATAAGTAAACAAGTTGGGGATTCAGGGATAAATTTTGTAGTGAAAGATCTGATCAGCTTTTACTGTATACAAGCTGGTGTGCCCCGATCCTTAGTGGATAAAATCCTGTCACTTTAAAGATATGGTGGATTGTTGGTGGGATTGGAGCTTCCTTTCTGTTAGAATTTTCTTCTGCTTTTTCTCTCCCTTTCACCCCACTCCTTTCTGGGTATTCTTTTTAGAAAATTAAAAATGTTGATCTTATTTTGTAAATGAATAGGAAGTCTAAAATCAGAAAAAAAGTCTGGTATAATAAATACAGGAAGAACACAAGAATTGACTTAGGTTAACAGGACAGTGGGCCATCAGTCTGGTAGAGCAGTGGTTCGCAAACTGTGGGGCACGCCCCCTGAGGGGGTGTGTGGAGGAACATTCAGGGGGCTGAGCGGCAACACCAGGTGGCTCGTGCCAGCCCTGCATGGTGGGGCCCGGGCCAGCCCCCACAGGGGGTGGGGAGGGAGCGCCACCTCCATCCTCTGACTCATCTCAGTGGACCACCTAGCCTGTGGGTCAGTGTGCTGCACTGGTTTCCGCTCCTGGCAGCTTCCATGCCCAGCGCTGGCTCCACCCCCAGAGACCGTCGCACATGCCTTCCCCTACCCTGAAAACCTGAGGGCAGAGGGGCAGAGGGGCAGGTGTTAGCCCTGCCTTAGTGGTGCATCCTGCCTGCAAGGCAGAAGCAGTCTGCTGCTGAGGAAATCTTGGTTGAGAAGTAATGGAGATGGGGTGCAGACAGATTCCATTAATGGTGGGGGTGGAGGAGGGGGTGGCGTGACTGGAAAAGTTTGCACACCATTGTGGTAGAGTATTCTTTCTCCAATAATGGCTAATACTGAATACTTCAGAGGAAGGCATAAAAATCCCATAACGCCTCTAACTGCAATATGACACCATATAAATATGGGGAATTTCTCCCTGTCTGTGTCTGATCCTGAAAAGTGTGAGTAACTCCCATCTTCCCCAGAAGCATGAAAAGCATTCCCAAGACAGAGTATTTCTCTTTTTTTGAATCTCTTTATAGATCCTGAAAATCCTGTCCTAGGGATGAGTGTGCAATAAATCTAAGCAAGGAAATATTTATTGTTACTTGGCATAAATTGGCAATAATTTATGCTGGTTAGAAATTTGAAATTTTGACAAAATTGGAAAAAATAAATCAAAAACACTGAAAACATTTTTGTGAAAGTGTCAGTTTGTTTTTGACCAGCTATAGAATTGATTGAAAAAATTTAAAATATGAAATTTCAATGAAAAATTTCATCAAAATTTTGAATTTCAGCCTAAAAGATTTTCATAAATGTTTTGGCTCATTTGTTGGCCTGTGCTAGTAGTAACTGTTTTCTCTCTCCTACCCCAAAACATCACATTTTTTCACATTTCATTGAAATTTACCAAAAGAGAAAGTTAAAAACCATGTATTACTGCACTTGGAGATAATTGGTGTCATCTTTTACTTTCAATCCTGCTTTACAGCCAGTTAACAAAAACTTAGTTTTATGAAATGTTATAATTCTTATATATTATCATTTCATTTCTGAATCTTTTAAGAATCTTTACTTCTCCAGTAAGTAAATGTTTAAGTATTTGCATTTGATATCTCAGGTTTTATTTCCTGCTAGTGCAAAAATTTTACATTGATAAAAGTTTCAGTAAAGCGTTTGGAACTAAACACTTTACGTTATCTCTCAAAATTCACAGAAAATAAAAACTGAAACTTCCTAAGATTAAATAAATGATCTGTCAAAAGTTATACACTAAGTAAACCTCTGAAAGGAATGTAGTTTATTTAATCTGCTATATGCCCTACTGGCCTGGTGACAGGAAATATTGCAGAGCTGGCAACTGGCCTAGTTCACCCAGTCAATGGAAACTGGCTTAGCTCATCCAACCAGTCAAAACTTCCCCCATCAATCATCTGGTTCCTCTAGCCCCCATGACCAGACAGTTGGTGTGCAAACAGGGCTCAGCCATTGGAAAAGACCTATCCAGTCAGCTTCTCCTACCCCAGTCCACTTCTACTCCAGTCTCTCAGCCAATGCAGGATTGACTCAACTTTGTCTGTCTGTCTCTTTCCAGGGGAGATGGAAGAGCTGGAAGCTCTCTGGCTTACTGGAATTTGTCACAATGAAAAGAATGAGGTAATGAGCAGCCAGCTGGACATAGATAACATGGCAGGCGTCTTCTATATGCTGGGGGCAGCCATGGCCCTCAGCCTTATCACCTTCATCTGTGAGCATCTCTTCTACTGGCAATTCCGCCACTGCTTCATAGGTGTCTGCTCTGGCAAGCCTGGCATGGTCTTCTCCATCAGCAGGGTGAGTGTCTTCAGAAAATGGAAGGAACAGTGCGGAGGTTAAGTCATATAGTTATAGAAATTAGAAATGGGGTAGTTCTACTGGATTCTCTTGGCCATCCCTCTTACACACAGCATAGGGCTGTTGCCTCCACTGTATTGTCCAGCATTTTGACCACTCTGGCTTTCAATGTTACAAGCGTTGCCAACACTTTCCTTGGGAGAACTGCCTTTTCCTCAGTGTTTCATCATTTCTGCTCTCTCTTGGAATTGGGTAATGGTGAGGCAGTCGTGAAAATGGGAAACAATATATAAAAAAGTTAATGTAACTTTTCTATCCCTCCAAAATTGTTTGAAAGGGCGCTGAATTCTTGGAGGAAAGGTTGTGGCAGTTCCTCTCCATCAACCAGTTCTCCTCTGGTCTTAGTTAGAACACCAAATTTAAATTGTCCTGTGTGTTGGAGCGATTCAGATAATTCTGTGAGAAATCAGCACTGTCTTGTGATTGTTTTGAGCACTTGGAGGTCCCTAATCTAAATTCATACTGTGACCAACACACAAGCCCCTGGAAAAAAGGATAGCCACTTGCCCTCAACACTCAGTGCAAAACCTACCTTAAACATTCCCCTTTCAAGAGTCCCCTTTATCTCTAAATGAGCTTCTCCAGCTAGTCATTTCTGTGTGATCCTTCTTCTCCTCTTGTACATAACATTTGTGCCCCATTTAGAGCTTTCTTTCTCTTCTTCCTGCTTCTGGCATCTCCTTCTGCTTCATTCTGCAGTGAGGTTATAGTTCTGTGTTTTTGATATCACCATCCCTGTGACAATAAAGTGGCTATATGAAGAGTGCTACACTGTTTGGGGGAATTAGATGGCTCAGTTGAATGGGCAATAGGGGTACAAAGTCCTTCTTATATCACCAGTCCCAATCTTATGCCAGGTTGGAGAGCAGGTGGGGGAACTGGATATGTCAGGAGAGTATTAGCAGAATGCAGATCCTTTTATCTCTTGGTTATTTGTACAAATCTGGGCCTGGTTGTGGTGACTAAAAGTTACTAACCTTCTGCTAGTTGTCGGACGACCTACGTCACGATGTGAAATGACTTGGTGGTCAGTCCACTTTATAATACACTGGTGTTCACCTCATATTTGACATTAGTTGGACCCCAGATTGGTAGTCTCACTAAGGAGGCAAATGACGAATGAGTCATGGAATCTGAACACCTCTCTCACCCATAGAAGTGGTCCTTCTGTGTCATGGCTGAGATGCACTGGTTGGGGAAACATGGAGAAATCTTGCACTGCTGCTGTCTGTTTTGCAGTTGAATTCAGGATTTCACTTTCCAAGAATGTCAATCTGATTCCTGAACTAGGGGTCACCAAATGAAATTAATAGGCAGCAGGTATAAAACAAACAAAGGAAGTATTTATTCACACAATGCACAGTCAACCTGTGGAACTCTTTGCCAGAGGATGTTGTGAAGGCCAAGACTATAACAGGGTTCAAAAAAGAACTAGATAAATTCATGGAGGATAGGTCCATCAATGGCTATTTGCCAGGATGGGCAGGGATGGTGTCCCTAGCCTCTGTTTGACAGAAATTGGGAATGGGTGACAGGGCATGAATCACTTGATGATTACCTGTTCTGTTCATTCTCTCTGAGGCACCTGGCATTGGCCACTGTCAGAAGACAGGGTACTGGGCTAGATGGACCTTTGTGTGGCAGTTCTTATGTTTTATGTCATCAATGTTAGATTTAACTTGAAAGTAATTTAAAAAATCTGTTGTGCCATACTCAGCTAAACACTAAAGAGCTAAATACCCATTCATCGGTCCTACTCTTTCTCCTCATTTCCTTTTCTAATCTGTGATGATGACAAGAAAAGCTTTCTCCTTTTTAACCAGTCCCCGGCCAGCTTGAGTCAATGATGTCTGAGAGTGAATTTCAGGGCAAAACAAGACTATCCTGAACTCCTTGCATCCACGCAGAAATTCAGTGTTTGCCCAATTCTGAGGCGGCTGTTCTCACAGACATTATCTGTGGTGCTGATGCCCATCTTGGAATCCAAAGTGCCAGCTGCTGGGTTCGAGTAACTCCCACTGACATCAGAGAGCTTTGCTTGTATACTGCAGGGGAGATAGTTTTGCCCTTGGAATTAATGGCTTTTGAAGAGGACCCTTATCTTGTGAGGTATTGATTCCTTCTACCCCAAATAAATGAATGTCTTCCCAAATGGAAACTATCATTATTATCTTTTAATATTTAATTAATTTATTTATACTAGGATAATCCCTAGAGGTCCCAATTAACACAAGGGCCCTATTGTGCTAGGCACTGACCATACACTTAGTCAGAGACAGTCCCTGCCCCAAAGAGCTTATAATGTAATCTAAATAGAAAAGATGGACAAAGGAAGTGTTATTCCCCTTTGATAGCTGGAGACATAGAGAGGCTAAGTGACTTGCCCATGGTCCCACAGGCAGTCTGTGATAGAGCTGGGAACAAACCCCACATTTTTTGAGTCCCTGTTCAGTAACTTAACACAAGGCTGTCTTTCCTCTCTAAACTGTTCTGTTGATGAAAGGTGAATGGGAGAAAAGAAGAGAGGGAGAGGAAATGAGAGGGAGCAAAGTAGAGGAAGAGAGAGGGAGAGGAAGGAAAAAAACAGAAAAGGGGGGGAGCAGGATACAGAGGGAAAGAATACTCAGTGTTGATAGATGCAGGTTTGACCTCATTTCATAGTGATGCAAGATTGGCAAACTCTAGGATCCCATGCTAGAACAAACCGTTTTCTCTGCTTCCCTGGCTCAGACTCCCCTTAGCTCAGTTCTCCCAGCTCCTTGTCTTCTCCTTTCTGCCCACCTGCAGAAGCACTGATCTCTGTCTCCTCCGTTTCATTTCAGGGTATCTACAGCTGCATCCATGGGGTAGCCATTGAGGAGCACCAGTCAGCGATGAACTCCCCCACAGCCACCATGAACAACACCCATTCCAACATCTTGCGCCTGCTCCGCACAGCGAAGAACATGGCCAACCTGTCAGGTGTCAATGGCTCACCGCAGAGTGCCCTGGACTTCATCCGCCGCGAATCCTCAGTCTACGATATCTCTGAGCACCGCCGCAGCTTCACCCACTCTGACTGCAAGTCTTATAACAACCCGCCCTGTGAGGAGAACCTCTTCAGTGACTACATTAGCGAAGTAGAACGGACCTTTGGCAACCTGCAACTGAAGGACAGCAACGTGTATCAGGACCACTACCACCATCACCATCGGCCCCACAGCATTGGCAGTACCAGCTCCATCGATGGACTGTATGACTGTGACAACCCACCCTTCTCCGCTCAGCCCAGGTCCATTGGTAAGAAGCCACTGGACATTGGTTTGCCACCTTCCAAGCATAGTCAGCTAGGTGACCTCTATGGCAAGTTCTCCTTCAAGAACGATCGCTACAGTGGCGGAGGGGGCCATGACGACTTGATCCGCTCAGATGTCTCTGACATTTCCACCCATACGGTGACCTATGGCAACATCGAAGGCAACGCCGCCAAGCGGCGGAAACAGCAGTATAAGGACAGCCTGAAGAAACGTCCAGCTTCAGCCAAATCACGGCGGGAGTTTGATGAGATTGAGCTGGCCTACCGCAGGCGCCCGCCCCGCTCCCCAGACCACAAGCGCTATTTTAGGGACAAGGAAGGGCTACGGGACTTCTACCTGGACCAGTTCCGGACCAAGGAGAACTCACCACATTGGGAGCATGTGGACCTGACGGATATCTACAAAGAGCGGGGAGATGAGTTCAAGCGCGATGCTGTAGGGGGTGGAGCGTCCTGCACCAACAGGGCCCACCACAAGCATGGGTCAGCGGACTTTGGAGGAGCCAATGACCACAAGCATGGTGTTGTGAGTGGAGTGCCAGCACCATGGGAGAAGAACCTGACCAATCTAGACTGGGAAGACCGGCCAGGGGCTAATTTCTGCCGTAGTTGCCCCTCTAAATTGCACAACTATACCCCGGCAGTGGTGGGGCAAAACTCTACCCGCCAGCCCTGCATCCGGTGTGAGGCCTGCAAGAAGGCAGGCAACCTCTATGACATCAGTGAGGACAACTCTCTCCAAGAGCTGGACCAGCCATCTGCCCCAGTGCCAGTGACGACCAGTGCCACCTCCTCCAAGTATCCTCAGAGCCCATCTAACTCTGCCTCCAAGGTGCAGAAGAAGAACCGCAACAAGCTCCGCCGGCAGCACTCCTATGACACCTTCGTGGACCTGCAGAAGGATGAGTCAGCCCTGGCTCCCCGCAGCGTGAGCCTGAAGGACAAGGGCCGCTTTTTGGAGGGGAGCCCCTACGCCCACATGTTTGACATGTCATCCAGCGAGACCGCTTTTGCCAACAACAAGTCCTCAGTGCCCGCCACCAGCCACCACCACCACAACAACCCTGGCAGCAGCGGCTACATGCTCAGCAAGTCACTTTACCCTGACCGGGTCACACAAAACCCTTTCATCCCCACTTTTGGGGATGACCAATGCTTGCTCCATGGCAGCAAATCCTATTTCTTCAGGCAGCCTGTGGTGGCAGGTGGGCCCAAAGCCAGGCCGGACTTCCGAGCCATTGTCACCACCAACAAGCCAGTGGTCTCAGCCCTTCACGGGGCTGTGCCAGCCCGTTTTCAGAAGGACATCTGTATAGGGAACCAGTCCAACCCCTGTGTGCCTAACAACAAAAACCCCAGGGCTTTCAACGGCTCCAGCAACGGGCATGTTTATGAGAAACTCTCCAGTATTGAGTCTGATGTCTGAGTGAGGGGAAGTGTGTGGGGAGCGGGGGAGAATGTGGAGTGTGGGAGGGCAGGATGGGGTCAGACCTGGTGCCCATTTGCTGCTCTCCTGGTTCTTTGTGGAACACTGGAGTTCTGAGTTCTCTCTAGGGCAGCACTGGTGACAAGTGCCACCTCTTTCTTTCCCCACCCCCATTATCTCTTTCCATTTTCCCACTCCCTCCTTCCTCCTCCATTCCTGGTCATCACACTTCCGTTGATGTAGGAATTGGGTATCCTCGCTTAGGGTGTCCCAGGTGGAGAAGAAGGTGCGTTTCTGGGCTGAGGCAGGGGAAGCTGTGTGGGCAGGAACAGTGACCGTATTGTTTCGTTTTTTTTTAAACTCCAAACAGCGAAGGGATATGCAAGCGCGTGCGTGACAGGAGGAGAGAGCAGAAGAGGTGGAATGGACACAAAGGAAAATGCTCTATCAGGCAATTCTTCCTAAAACTGTTTAGAAAAAAAAATTGAATACATGGATAAAATGAAGGAGACATAACGTGGGATTGACTTGATGCACTTACATACTGGTTATATTGAGGTTCTCTTTCATTTTTTTTTTCATGAAGACTATGGGGGTTTAGGGCTGAAATATGTATTTGCATATACACTGAGAGATTTACACTGAAATTTGGAATCATTTTCTGGAGGCGGGAAGGGTGATTTGTACGCAGGACTGGCTGGTGGTTCCATGATGGTAACGCAGCCAGCACATCTGTGCCAGACTAGCAAGAGAGGTGGCGGAGGATATTGGGTCTGGGGTGGGACAGCAACGCTGAGGTCAGGAAGCCTGGGAGATGACTTTGCCTTCACTAAAACGAGAGACGCTTGGGGGTGGGAGGTAAGGCTTGGCTTGTTCCTTAGTAATTAACTCATTGTTAATTTTGGGCATCATTAAATCATGGGAGCAGTTTATAAGGCAAGTTGGCTTGTTGGTGGGTATACACGATCATACTATACTTGAAATGTCTGTGAGGAAAACGAAATAATACCACAAACGGAGTGTGTGTTCAGCTAACAAACCCGGCAGGACAAAGATTGAGAAGCTGGGGAAAAGGCAAAGAGCGTGAGCGTATGGGAGAGACAGAAGTGGAGATCTGTCACCCTGCCACTTCAGGAGATGTCAACCTTGTTTTGGCCAATGTAAAAGTAGAGGGGCAGGTCAGGAAGGGGCCTGATCCCTCCTCCTTCCCCTCCCCCTGCCAGGCAGAGAGAAATATGTCACAAAATGGCACAGGGCGCTCCCTGTTGATGGTGGTACAGTGTTCTGAGTCTGGCTTTGAGGGAAAAGGAGGTGTGAGGAAAACGTGTGAGCGTGGCAGCAGCAGGGGACTGCTTAAATGCCTACATGCGCACTTGCTGAATACGGGCTTACGTTTGCTATTGAATGTGCTGTGGAGACACATGGCTTGTCTTCCAGAGGGCAGGCGGGAATGACATAAATAAATGACAACACTCACAGCAGCTATGATGAGGTCTGAAGACTAGAGGTGGTAGGGTGGGGGGAGAGAGAGAGAGAGAGTGTGTGTGTGTGTCTGTGTGTGTGTGTGAGAGAGAGAGAGAGAGAGAGATTGAGAAATACTAGCACAGGTGCTAAGCTGGAATAGCCTAACGCTGTAGTCAGCTTTCCCAGCAAGCATGGTATCGGTAAAAGTGGTTTTCTTTCCATTGTATCATTTTAGATGCAAACTAAACTAAACTAAATGGAGTGATGGTGAGAGTGAGATGTCCACTTCCCCTTTCATTTGTCTTCTTTAACAGGAGGAACTGAGGTGAGACCCCAGGTCAGCACCTCCCATCCTGAAACTTGTGGTACAGACCCTGAATTTTTTTCATGGATCTGTCCCATTGTCCTGCCAGCCTTCATTCACACGGGGGATGGTTAAAAAAGCCCCACATTTGACTGGGGTGGCACATAGAATTGACCCTACACAGAGGAAGGCAGCCATTTTTTTCAAGCAACATTTCCTCGAGCTGAAAACCCTCACTCCCTCACACTCCTCACTGCACCACAGCTGATTTTATCTTGCTATCTTTCCTTTTTTAAGCCAACAGAAGACCTCCGTTTTTTTAAAGCTGGGGCTGGGGGGCTGAAAAGTCTCATGGTGTGAGGGGAGGGTGGGCAGGGTGGAAGGTTTGTTTAGATTTCACTGAGGAAATTATAGGGGAAGGAGTTGAAGGGTCTTTGAATTGCCACCCATGGTATCAGGGGAAGGGACCTGCTTATTCCTTCCCTCTCCTCCCTTTACAAGAAAAGCCAAATGAACTAACCTAGCAATCTGCAATCCAGAACACGAGGCGACTGGTCAGAGCCCACTGACAGTGGCCACCAAGAAGGCATTCATTTCATTTGTAAATATTTTTTCTATTGCATTTTGTATAAATTGATGTTTCTCTTCTCGTGAAAATTCAGGTCGTGGGGCAACCAGGGTGGGAGGGAGGGTGGGGTGAGGTTGTTTTTGTTTTGTTTGTTTTCTATGACTTTCAGGCTGTGTATTTGGAAGCGGTTTACGCAGGTCGAGGCCGTGCAAATGGGAGAGCAAGAGAAAATCACGTGCACTGTGTTCCCTCCCCCGCCCCAGTACCACCCCTGTCACCTTTATCTTCATGAATTGAAAATGCTGGCATGTCACCTCGATCCTTGCCAGCAGGGTATTCATGCCATGGTGGAAGTACTCCATCTTCCCTATTTGATTATAAACTCTGTTCCAGCATCTGTCTGTAGAATTTGGGCTTCAAGACATTGTCTTGCCAGTGATGGGGTTAACCATCGATTTGGGTGTTCAGTTTGGGTCATCACACAGTGGTATAGAGACTTCTCCAATACTGCTTTGGTTTACAAATCTTGGCGCTGGGAAAGCTTGCAAGATTTCTGGTACTTCCCAAGGGTTTTTTGGCAGCTGGCAAGAGCAGCATGTCTCTGATGGTTATTTCAGTACTTTCCCCTCACCCTGTTTGCAGCTGGAACCAGGAAGCTCAAAGATGATGCTGGGAGGGAATTAAAAGGAAAACAAACCAAAAAGAAGTCATCAGGACTATTTCAAACCTCTCTAAAGAGTTCAGATTTTGTGTTTTGGTACAGTTCTCATTTTCTCAGAACTGGTTTGCTCCATCCCTAGTTCCAGTGATTGGCAGATAATGGTTTGCCATGATAATTAGATTTAGCATTTACACTGTATAGCACTGCTCATGTTCAAAGTGCTTTGCAAACATTAACCGTGCCATGAGTCACATGAATGCCTCCTCTGAGGACAATTGGAAATGTAGGACTGGCAGCACCAGGCTGGATTATTGGTCAACCTACAGAAGTCTGGTATCTTGCCTTCTGCCATTTCAGGTCAGACCATTAGTCCATCTAGTTAACTCTTTCTCCTGCAAATGGCCTTTTCTGGTTGCTTTTTTTTATTTGAGTTCCATGGGTGAGAGCGTTTGGGGCAGGAGGTGGGAAGGGGGTTGTTTGGGGGAGATCATAATCCAGCAAAGAAAGTGATGTGATTAACACTGTTGTGAGTTTAGGATTTTAGATTCAGTGTTATTTCATTGTAATGAATCAAGTGACGCACACAGGTAATATCAGCATCAGGTGCTCTTTCTGCTAGAACAGAGCCCATGTAATGCTCATTACCTTCCAAAAAAGCAGGGGCTTTCATACCAAAGCCCAACAAATGTTTTACATTCCCCTTTCTGCCATCTCCCTCTCTCCTTTTCTTTCCCTTAGTAAAAGACAATATTTTCTGGGATGCTTTATGGGATCGTTTCACACCTCAAAGGCTCTGGCTACTGAAATAGTGAAGTTCGGGTTGAAGGGCAGAAGTCATTGTAGCATGGATGTTACAATGAGCTGTACTGTATGTTTTCAGTCTACCTGGAAGGATCTGGCACCTCTGGCCATGTATTTGCCACATTCCTCTTCATTTGAACCCCAGGCATGGTTCCCTGAGAGATGTTCTAATGTTCTCATCATCCCTCTTCTTCTGGAGCATGTATGTATGGCCCTGAAGGAGAATGGGAGGGGAGCAAATGTCCCTAAAATATCAGGACTATCCCATACAAATTTCAGGGTATCTGGCAGCCAAACTTTCCAAGTTGTGGAGCTTTGCATGATGCCCCATTGGAGTTTTCACACTGGTTTTCTAAAATAATGTAACATAATATATGCTGAAATAACAGTACTCCATCACATACTACATCCTGGCATAACACAACACACCATGATCCTGATATCAGAACATAATACATCACTTCAAAAATGTAAAGACAAGCTTCAATCAGCACTCACTATCCATCAAGACAATGTGGGTACTCCCTACCCCCCTCAAACAAATGTATCACCATCTCTGACGCAAACATATCCCCCATATTTTTGGAACCGGACTCCCCAAGTGGCTTCAGATTGCTCAGCAATTCTCTAGTATAAACTCCGTTAGGGAGTTATTTTAATTCTCCCTATATGTGGTGAGGAAGATTCTTCCAGGATGTCCTAAAAGACTATAGAGTGTGATGGTAAAGTTATAGTTGCCAGGATGGGTCATTTTGCTTCAGAGCTCTCCAGCATGCACACAAAAGTTGACCTCCTAATAGCAAGGAGATGCCCACACCCATCCTGGATAGAGGCCCCTTTACCCTAGGGTTGTTCCTCATAGCGATGGTACCAGCAAGAGAGAGTAAGGATGTGATACTGGTGACAGGTTGACATGGTACCTCAGGGATCTTGCAGGCAAGTCTTTGCTTTAGAGCTTTCTATAAAATGTGGCATGCCCTCCAACCTACATTGTTTATTAATAGATGTAAGCAAGCCTGAGAACATGGCCAAAGATCAGACTGAGGCCTGTCACACACCCTTCGCTCCAGTCAAGCAACCATGGGGAGGGGTTTACATTTCCCCACATAGATTTGGTTGCCAGAAGAGGGGAAAGCATGGGGACAGTGCTGATGAGGGAACTTTGTGCTGACCATCCACACTCTTGGTCTAAGGATGTACACATGAACATTCCTGCTCTACCCAAGCTAGAGGCATGGAAAAGCCTAGGACCCAATTAGATGATTCATGGCACATGAATGACTCATATTGAAGTCCCTGGGAGTTTTGTGCATCAAACTTATGGCATGGTCAGGCTCCTGGCTCACTGACAGCAAATGGATAAGGACTCAAAGCCATGTCCTTCCCCCCACCATCTTCCATAAGTGCTTCCCTGCTGCTGATCACACCTGGTATGTCCAAGTGGACCACACCTACCATGCTGGTGGATGCTGCAGGGCACATCAAGAAAGTAACTAGAGGGACCCAAGCTGTGTCCCCACAAGGGCTTATTTCCACTTTGCAACCAAATAAACTTCCAAGCCATATAGCCCCACCTCATCCATTCACTCACACACAAGAAACCCTCCCCCAAGGAAAGATTGGGATTATGACTGGCTCAGCAGCAATCCCAAAATTATTGTTTCATCTTCATCACAGGCTGTCTGGAACTCATCAGGGCTAGTCACAGATGAACAGGGGCATCTCTCAGAAAAACAAGATCACTTTTTAATGGGCTTTGGGTCCCCTCTCCATCTCTCAAGCATCCCCAGCTTCCTCTCTTAACCACAACGTTTGGGTGAATTCTCACACTTTTTGGTGGTTACAGACAGCAATGCGGACACGGAAATAATTTGGGTTTATTAGCAATGCCCAATAAATAGAAAAGTGAAACCATCACTGTGTATCATGGGAAACAGAACTCATGATAAACTCCAAAAGCACAGTTCTCTACCCACTGAGGTAAAGAAGAATCGGCATTAGCTATTAGTAGTTATGGGGCTTTTAATCTGTATTTGCAGGTTTCCCACCATTCAAAGTTGAAACAGGTAATGCTGATTAACACTTGAGCAAGTCTGACATTCCATCCCATAGGGATGGACACACACACACACATGAAATAATATGCATGTGAGCAGATCTGACATTAGCAGGAGGCAGTGGCGCGTGTGCACACACAAAAGCCAGTACACTGCAGTATGCTTTGTGACTCTTTCTGTCCCAAGATGCATCTTCTCAAAGTAGGAACAATCTGACCTTTACTAATGTTCTGCTGGTAGTTATTTACTTAATGTATTCATTTTGTGACTTTTATATCATCTGCTTCCTTGACTGCAGTACCGTGTATAAATATATATATGTATATATATACAGAAGGTAATTCAAGCAACTACATTCAGGTTGGGGAAGAGGGCGATTTTTATATATGTACAGTATTTCCTTGTTAAACAATGGCATGATGGGCTGGGGGTGGGGTGAGGAAGCTGACTTCTAAATTGTGGTTTTTCTTGGTATGTGGTGTTTGAAGTTGTTTCAGTGGCTGCTTTTGCTGGTTCGGAAAGTTTATCTGGATGTTATATGTGTGTGTTAAGAAAGGGACCCAAGGTAGGGGAGATTTGGGGTTGGGGGAGGGGTAGGAGAGGGTTTTAATAATTTCCTGTATTAGAAGATGTGTTGATTGTTAGGGACTGTTTGTCTGAGGCACCGGGCTGTTTCCTTCTCTAGGTGACTTGCTGCTTTTATCTGGTTGCTTTCTTTTCTCTGGTCCCTGTTGTTGTCGTCCCTCTGGAGTGTTAGTAGAATCCATTGTTGCTATGACCTTGCCTCTGCTGTAATCTTTCTCTGGGCCTTCATTTCCTCCTTAGCCCCTTTCTCCACAGTCCTCCTTTTGTATTGTCCTTCCAAATCCCTATGGGATGAGGGACTGCATCTTCTGTGTCCTCTGCTATCTTCCTGCAGTTCCTAGCTACTTTACATTATTCCCTTTAGAATCTCTCTAGCCACCTCCGAATCCATCTCTTATCCACGTGTTCAAACCTTTCTAGTGCTTCACTGCCTCATCTCTCTGCCCTCATGTCCACCTATTTCCCAATACTCATCCCACTCCTCCAATCCTACCTCTGTGTTTCTTCCCTCACAACCACACACCCTCACTGTTTGCTCCCTGTGCTCCCCTGGTTACCATCTTACTGCTCTGTCATCTTCATGTGATCCTACAGTTGGAGAGTGGCGGCGCTTGAGCAGGCCACTCTATCTCTTGTATTGCTGCCCTCTCTCCCTGAAACTCTCTAGCCCTCGCCAAGTCACTTCTTTTTTAGAAGATGATATTTAGCAGCTGTATCAGCCTTTCACTTTCACCAATCCTGCGTTCTTCCCTTGAACACCCATGAAGGAAAACATGAGCAGTCCGGTAAATTTGCCAGTGCAAGAAACCTGATGAAACCATTTTTTCCTTGGAGAGTTGTGAGAGGTAGTCTATAAAATTCCCTTCCTTGACAGCTGATTGTTAAGTGCACAGGACGGTGGAGGTATACCAATAATCCATTTCAGGTTGACCCACTTCAAATGTGAGTCTCTCTACCACGCCTCTTTACTTGATGTGAACCCAGGAGGGACTGTTGAGAGGTGGTGCTGTGTTTGAACAGCATTTACTACCCTGCATAGTCTGCGGAAGCCATTGATTTGTTTGCTGATCGCAGGATTATCTGCCATGCTGTGCAGATGGGAAAGAATGGCACTGAGGACTGGGTCCCCCTCGGCCTGGCAAGTCAGTATGAGAAGGAGTGACTGGAGGGATGACTTTGGTTCACTATGCTGGGGTTTCCGTAAGTGAATAGAGTGACTGAGCGTGGTTGCAGTCTTTGAGCGTGTGTGTCAATCTATAAATTGGAATGTGTGTCATTGTGTGTGTGGACATATGTCCAAGTGTGTGTTTGTGTGAGCTGGTGCGTCAGTGCAATGTGTGGTGAAGCTGTGTCAGCGTGGTGTCCGAGCATGGGCCGCAGGTGAGCTTGGAGTAAGTGCATGTGAACATTGGGCAGTATATGTGGAAGTATGTTGGTGAGATTTCACATTCTAGTCACTCTGGATATAGCTTTAGGCACAGTGCCAGTCAATCCACCCCGTTGCTCCTTCTGCTTACTCAGTGTGCCCCAATTGTGACTTACCCAGCTGGCGTTCTAGTGAGAAGGCACCTGCCAAATGAGACTTCTGTGTGGGCCCATAGGGGCTAGCAGATGAGCCCCATGTCACCTTTCCGAGACTCAGACGTGCTCCAGAATAAATGAGATTAGCGAGGTAGGTAATGGAACTTTCTTCCTCTGAATGCTGGGCAGGCTCTTGGCTTCTGTGGACTTCTCCCCTTTCTGAGCCTTTTGCTGGGATTCAGCTCCCATGAGCTGTCATTTCCTCTGAGCACTGACAGCTCCTAGGGGCTCCTACTGCCTCAGAGCACTATGTGTATGTTGCATGCCTGTTGTTACGTGTGTGTGTGTGTGTATATATATATATATTGTGTGTGTATGTGTGTACAGTCTATGTATGTAGATGGTGTGTGTGTGTGTGTGTGTGTGTGTGCTTGAGCAGAGGGAGTCCTGTTGGAAGCTGTACTAGGGCAAAGCCAGTTGATAAGTATCTGCAGGTTGGCAGCCTTTCCTCTTTTTCTTTTAGCTCTGATGTGTGTCCTGGTAAATTCACCCATGTCTGGCAGCCATGGTGCTGCTCTTGCTGTCCTACTATGCCCCAGGTCTGACTTGCTTGGTGAGGACCCTGGAGGACGTGCTCTGCATCACAGATCAGGTTAGAAAGCAGATTCCTCTTTGGGTTGGTTGGAATATAGCAACAGAAACCCATTCTACATGCTAATTCAGTTTTGTGCTGAAGCCACTGTGCCATGTTTCCACACCAGCGTGCCACATGCATTGCATCCTTAGGCCTTACCTGGCAGATGAAGAAGGAAGACATCCCCTCACAGCACAGTAGAGTGTTTGGGAGATGCCTGGTAAAGCAGAAGGGGGATGCACTTGTCCCATGACTGAAGCAGGATGCACCCTGGCTTTCTTGCTGCCTTGGTGCACTTTCAGCATGGAAGCACTAACCCTATTGTCATTCTTGGATAAGTATGGAGGGGAGAGCTAAGCTGCGATAGATTTGATCTCAGGTCTCCTGTCTCCCTGTCTTCATTTTGCAAGTGTAAGTGTTCATTGAAGGGCCCGGAAAGGCAGCGCACCTGGTGACCTGAGTTGGGAATTGAGTTCATCTTCCCCCAGCTCTGTAGCATTGTGGGGGAGAAGAGGAGACAGCGAGCTCTATGGGGAGCAGCAGGTGACCTTTCTGCATCTTCTCCTTCCCATCCCAAGGAGATATCAACAAACTGGTGGCATCCTTGCAGAGGGGGATCAGTTGGGAATCCCCTCTGGTGCCAGCCAGTTCTGCACTTTAACTGGCCATGTTGAACAACACAAAGATCTCTTCTGCCAATAGTTGGGAAAGAACACCAGGACCTGATAAGCAGCCACAGCCATCAAACAGCCGAGGAAGGAACAACATCCTCTGGCTGTTGCCTCTTGTCATTTATGCCACCTGTTTCCATTAAACTGACCCATTGTGTTCCAGTCTCTTGGCCACTTTGATATATTTTTATATATTTATGAGGCAATGGAGAGTATATGTATAGCCCTTGGGTGGCTCCTTATTTCAAAGCATACCCATCAACATCCTCTGCTTTCTTCTGCATGCATTCACTGGTTCCTCTCCAGCAATATCCTGTGCACTGCCTGGTTTTGCTTTCAAGGGGTCGAAAAGATTTGTGGGTTTGTTTTTTTTTTTAATTCTTAAAAGGCTGGGTACCTAGAACCAGTCAGAATCCTCAGGAGATGCTGTAGGATCGCACCTTGCCACTGAACACATGTGGCAGTGAGAGGGATTCAAAGGGAAAGTGGCTAGCTTTGGAGTTCTGCTGCCACTGGTGGCTTTTCTTATCCTTGGAGCGGGAGCTCTCTTTTCACGCCTGCTCAGAATACAGCAAGCTGCTCTTTTTATCGCTCCATCTTCAACATTTTTAAGGGGGAGAAATTTTGTAAAGTCATTTTGGCGGGAGAAGGGGAGCCTTTTTTCAGCAATACGACGTTCTGAGACCTCAGTTCTGTGTATGCAGTCAGCTGTGTTTGGGCTTTTTCCTTCGCAAATGCTTTTGATGCCAGGGCAATCTTGAGACATCTCTTTGCCAGTGACCGCAACACCATCTATAATTTGGAGATTGGGGCTGTTACAGAGAAAAGGCTTCAGCTTCTCTGACAGTAACTTCTAACTAACTTCTACCTGGATTCTCAGAGGGGGAAATGTTTAATCATTGCACAGATTTTTTTTTTCATGCTCTCTTTTTCTTTTTTCCTTCTAAAAGGTATTACGACAGAATTCTATAGCAGTGGCCCCAAATGCTGTCATGACCCTGGGATGGATTGCAGTTTTGTGTAATAAGAGCCCTCTCTCTCCACTGTATATTTTCACTAGTTTCCTTGCTATCTCAGTCCCCACCCGCAGGGCATAACTCATTCTTGGCAGTGGGAGTGCGGACTATGATTTAGATACTGCTCACCCAACTAGTGTACCCTTTTAGAACAGACTTCACCATGGAATCCCTGAATAGTAAGTATCTAGACCAGACCAGGCTCCAGCTGTCCTGATTACATAGGGTACCACTGCTGCTGTTCTCTCTGACATGGAGTGATGGACATTCCCGGGGCTCTTTCAGGAGGAGTCTTTGTGATCTTTTCCTGGGCGATATGCAATAAATGGCGTGTTAGAGCTGAGTTGGTGGTGATCAGGAGGGGAGGGGAGGCCGGCGTGCACATGAGATTCTGTAGCTCAGATACAAGCGTGTCACAATCTCTGTTGAAATACAGTGGAACAATACAACAGAGGTTCTACTCACAGACCGACCCTCCATCGCCACTGATCTCACCGTACAGATGATCCAAGGGTGACTTCTCCTTGGTGATGAGGGGAAGGGCAGCAGGGAAAAGAGAGGTGGAGGTTTCTCTCTTGGGCTGGCAGCGATAATTCCTTTAGATCATGCTCTTGGGTGGGAACAATGCTAAAAAAGCCATGGAGGGCAGATTAGAAAACATGAGGGGAGATTGAGCAAGGTGGAGTGAGCCAGAGAGCCTGGTTGGAACAGCCTAAACTATCTTTTCAGTAATTCTTTCTCTCCCTCCTTGCACAATCCCCATTGTCACCTCCCCCCACTTATAGAAACAAAAGGGGCTGGACCTGGATCCTGAGGGATACGATCCAGAGAGGGGAACTAATAACTCCCATGCCCACTTCTGTCTTTCTCCTGCAGCCCCGTGCTGTTCATGGGAGGCTAGGGCTGGCCTTTGACACAGACAGTGCCCTCCTGGGCCAACCAGAATCTAGCGGTGCCCACAGTAAAGCAACTGGGGAGAAATATGGGACCTGACCAACACTCTCCCTATGCACCATTGTGACATGTGAGAGAAATCGCAGCATGTGGATGTGAGCATCCGGGGCGTAGGAGCAGCAAGGTGTTCTTGGCTAGGGATTTCCCGCCCTCATTGGTGTGTGGGAACCCAAGTGTGTTGACTTTCAGGAGATGGTGTCAGGCTCCTTTATGCTTTCCAGGCTTTTGGCTGAAGCAGAGTAGTGCCGGGGAAAACTCCAGTTTCTTCTGGGGATAGGGGAGGGAGACTATTTAGGGCTGACACTGGTCAGCATCTTATGTATTTTGCTTTTAAATAATGTAAATTTGCCCAGAGAATGTTTGATGAGCTCAGTCTATAGATCAAAAGAGAAATAAATATTCAACTACAGTGGTGGTTTTCAACCTGGGGGCCACAGACCATGTCTAAGATTTCCAAAGGGGCCCGCATCTCCATTTGAAATTTTTTAGGGGTCCGCAAATGAAAAAAAGGGTGAAAACCACTGTCCTGCAGTGTAATTCCCCTGCTACCCCACTGTCCCTCCTTCATTTCTCCTGAGATCATGGTTTCTCTGGGTGGGCTCTGACACCTACCAGGCCTTCCTCCAAAGCAAACATTTCCCTCCTCCTTGTGTGAACTTCTGGACCTAAATATCGCCTCCTCCTCCCTTTTTTCACATACACATGCTCAACCCCCAGCCCCTCCACTTGTGAGAACCTGAGCCACAGAGGCAGGAGTGCCAAATGACTATTTATTTCTCAAAGGAAAATTAAAAAAAAAAAAGTTTTTTTAAAATATGCAATTGTGCAAAGGGAACCGACAGCAAGATGATGGTGGCAGAGAGGAAACGGGATGTTTTGTAACTCTAGCTGCAGTAAAAAAAAACAAAAAAACAAAACAAAAAAAAACCATTAAAAATATTGAAAAAAAGAAAAAAGGAAAAAAAATCTTGACCTATTTTGGAAATATTGTGAATAATTTTTTTGATATAAAAACTAATTTTTATGTAGCATGAAAACCACCAAAATAAAATGATCAAGAATAAAAGTTGCGCAGAGGTTTTTTGTGGTTGTTGTTTTGGAGGGAAATGACGGGGTAGGAGAGGAGTGGGGTGTGCATGTGTGTGAGAGAGAGAGTGAGAGAGAAAGAGAGAGGGAGGCAGTGTTGTCAAATCTTGTGATTTTATCTCAAGGTTTTCAATAGTAGTGTTTTTCATAAAGCCCCAGTTCCTGGAGTCCTATGATTATGCGAGAATCTCCCCTTTCATTTTTTTAAATAGTAAGTTTTTAGCCTTCATTGTTGAAGAGAAAAGAATGGACCAGAAAGTCTCAGAAATAAAAAAAAGAAATATAAAATACCCAACATTTATGATTTTTGAGCAGCTGAAGTTGGCAGTACTGGTGAGGGATGTACGGAGCAGGGAGGCCAGGGATATGAAGATTGTATTCACACATACATCATTCATTTTGTCATATGATGGATAAGCCTCCTTGTAATTAACTTGACCTACTCTTTACTGTCCCTACCCACTGAGAAATGGGGCACTGATCCATCCGAGGACACATAGGCACTGCCTCCCTGGTCCCCTTTGAAGAAACTTTACATTTGTTTCCAATTCTTCCTCCCTTCCAAAGGAAATATGCTTCCTCTCCAAAGCCTGGAGAAAACTAGATGTTGGGCCCTCAGCTCCTTTAGGAAATATGGCAATAACTCCCCAAACATCATGAAGAAATTGTGGTGTTAGAATCCTGACCCTCCTCCCCAGAAGAAATGTGCACCCCAAAAGCAAATATAGCACTGCCACCTTAAAGGGAAAGAGGTGTTGGCTCCCTGAATGCTCATGAGAAAAGGGAAGAGTGACCCCTTGAATTTCCAGAGGAAAGGAGGTGCTGAGTCCCTCCATAATCTCCTCAAAGAACATGATGTTCGTTCCCCTGCAGCAATCTGAGTATAAATCAGAGACTCCTGAGCTTACCTTCCAGGCTAATTGTGCATCAGCAGAGATGTAACCATCTCCCTTTCTCCCAGGGAAATGGTGATACTGGCCTTAGGGGGCAAGCACAGCACTTGCTGCATTGAAAATATACCCCAATTTTTCACTTTATGAGCCTGAATAAATGTATCCTTCTGCCCTATTAACTTCATCTTTCCATCCTCCTATACATGCTCCCAGACTCCACCCACTGGAATAGTGACTCACCAGCTATCAGCCAGCCTCCATTGCCACCAGCCTGTCCCATTCTCTGCCTAACTCCTCCCTGCCCAACAAACCTCCAGAAGGACAGCTGATCCCCTGGCTGGAATAACAGTGGATCCTTGGGATTTGGGCCCAGCTGCTTGTAGAGAGACATAGCATGGGTCAAACTCCTCCCTCCTGATGAAGTTCCAGTTGCTGGCATTTAGTGAGTTACCAGTATTTGTTTTTCTTTGAGGCTGCTCCTCCAATATGTGTCTTCTCCACACAGTGCACAGTCAACCTGTGGAACTTGTTGCTATAGGATGTTGTGAAGGCCAAAAGTATAACTGGGTTAAAAAAATAATTAAATAAATTCATGGAGGACACGTCCTTCAATGGCTATTAGCCAAGACGGTCAGGGACGCAACCCCATGCTCTGGGTGTCCCTAAACCTCTGACTGCTAGAAGCTGAGACTGGGCGATGGGACGGATCACTTGATGATTGTCTGTTCTGTTAATTCCCGCTGAAGCACCTGGCATTGGCCACTGTGGGAAGATAGGCTACTGGGCTAGCTGGACTATTGGTCTGATGCAGTATGGCCATTCTTATGTTTTACGTTCTTAAGTGTCTAGCTAGTTACCCCTGGTACCTCCCCTCCAATTGCTCCCTGTCAGTTTTACCGGCAGGTCTGCCTCCCTCTGAGGAGTGTTGTACCTCTATGGTCTCGCTGTTGCTAGGAGAGCGAGGGGAAGGGGATTATTCCTGCCTTCTCATGCTGGGAACCTGGTACCATTCACATGCTTATAAAAGGTTTCAGAGTAGCAGCCGTGTTAG